GCTGAGCTATGGCAGAGCAACTAGTGAACAAAACCCAACTTGCCTCAGAACGGAAAAACAATTGACATGAATTTTTAATGGGTGTTTTTATTCACAATTAGGTATTTATGGCAGCCTGGGAGACAGAAATTGTAATATTTTCCAGCTTTTGAGAAGCTTCAGATAAGGCAGTCTTTGTATAATGTGCTTTTAAAGCCATTCTGCACTGAGCAAATCTCATGCTTTCATACCCTTCATGAGCTCCTCTCTGCAGAGAGCAATGCCAGCTGGAGATTCAAAGGATGGGTTTCAGCCTGCCTATTCCTGAAGGATGTGGAAGGGGATATTGTTCTTCTCTTCCACTCCTGAACTCCCAAATCCTGGCCTCAAAATCTGCTGAACTTTCAGGAGCTAGTGGAGGCCAGATGTACGGAGATGTGTGGGAGCTTAGTGCCTCTGCTTTCTCTCCAAACATGAGGACTTTGGTTGCCTCCTGAAAGCGTTCCCAAGTGAAAGGGTTTGGCTGTTGTTGGGGGAACTGGTTAGCATTAACTTGCTGTGCAATTTCCTGTCACTTGTGAGATGGTGAATAAGCTGAGGAAAGTAGGTGGCCCCACTTTTTCATATATTGTGGTGAAATTGGGATCTTTAGGATATAAAAGCATGGAAAGTTTTCAGCCGGCCTGTGATTTAAAACAAAAAGCTCACCACCCACTGTTTTACCCTAGAGGAAAAGGTTTGAACCTGCATCCTTTGCTAGGGTATTACACGGCTCATCTACTGGTGCATTTTTTAACCTGTGTAAGACTTTTCTGCAAGAGTTTGAGGTGCAGAACCTCATTGGAATGATAAAGAGATGGTCCATCTTTACTTTCACTGATGAAACCGATGTTTTGCTCACTGTTACAACCATCAGAAATGCTGATGAAGCCCAGGTGAGGGAGAAAGTGAAAAGCTGGAGCTGTATGGTCAGCCTTTTGAAAAGATCTCTTTTCTCTTTTCAGACCAAGTCCGAAACAGCTACTACATTGGTGCTGATGGCTCTCTCAGACTGATGCTCGCTAACGGCATGGAGGTGGCCCTGCAAACCGAGCCGCATCTGCTGGCTGGCACCGTCAACCCCACAGTGGGGAAGAGGAATGTCACCTTGCCCATTGACAACGGCCTCAATCTCGTGGAGTGGAGGCAGAGGAAGGAGCAAGCAAGAGGGCAGGTCACCGTCTTTGGACGTCGGCTGAGGGTAAGTGAGAAGTGTGAGCAGGTTTGGACGCCACTTCCCATCTCATCAGGCCCCAATCTCATGACAGAAAGGGACAGGACTGATTTGTGTCGTCTGCAGTAGGGATGAGGCTGCAGGACAGAGAACTAGCTGTTCATCCTCACTGACACGACCTTTATGACTTGAATATATCCTTGCGTCTCCTTACGTGCTGACATTCTCTTGGCCATCACAGGCTGATTTGCCTACATGTCCTCTGCATCACTGGGAACGTGTGACTTCCCATCAGACACTGCAGGTTTAACCATCGTGTCAGGCTGTTTAAAAAAGCAGGGGATGATCATAACTATAAAATACTGCACCAATTAGTATAGGTATTTTCTACCTGTGCTGCTGGCAGTAATAGACCTGAGCACTGAAAGCTTTGTAAGCATGAGACAGGCTGAGAGAGTTGGGGTTGTTCAGGCTGGAGAAGAGAAGGCTCCGGGGAGACCTTAGAGCCCCTTCCAGTCCCTCCAGGGGCTCCAGGAAAGCTGGAGAGGGGCTGGTGACAAGGGCAGGGAGTGACAGGCCAAGGGGAATGGCCTGAAGCTGCAGGAGGGGAGATGGAGATGAGATGTGAGGCAGAAATCCTTCCCTGTGAGGGTGCTGAGGCCTTGGCACAGGTTGCCCCGAGAAGCTGTGGCTGCCCCTGGCTCCCTGGCAGTGTTGAAGGCCAGGTTGGATGGGGCTTTGTAGTGGAGGGTTTCCCTGCCCATGGCAGGGGGTTGGGACTAGATGGGCTTTGAGGTCCCTTCCAACCCAAACCAGTCTGAGATTCTATGATTCTCATTCACTGGTTAGCCTCAGGAAAATCTCTAGATTCCTGAAACTCGCTAATCTGTCAAACCTGTCGAAGAGCTGGGCTCACGGGGCATTGCATTGCAATTGCCGTTTTTCCCCAAAGTGAAGTGTTATTAACAGCTCCAGCCTGATGGTACTCTCTCCTCCAGGAGCGCGCTGTCCTTTCTGTGCTCGGGACTGATGTGTTTTGAAAACACTGTTCCGCACAATGCACCGCAGACTTGTCAGGGCTGTTTAAAGATCTTGCCCAATAAGCCTGTAATTCCTCCGCTAACTGCTGGCGAGGCTGGTAACTTGTAATAGCAAGTCCTGCGCAATCACCCTGTACCTTGCTAGTCTCAGAGTCACGGGCTGATGAGCGGTTCCTGGGAAGCTGCTCAGCACCTGGCAAATTCAGACCCTCTGAGAAAAATGCTTAGTGCTGTGTAGTGCCACCACAGCAAAAGGATTGCAGCTATTTATTTGCACTTAAGTTTTACAGCACGTATTAATGCTCTGGTTTCAGAATAAGTGTTTCCCAGTCCTTGCTCTTCACCTCTCCCTATTCCCCGCAGCGTGACCTCTGCCACCCTGGGGTGATTTCTCCCGTCTCTCCTCACTCACGCTTGTCAAGTATTGCTCTTCACCCTCCGCAACCCAGCCTCTGCTCTTTTCCCCTGGCGTCGATAGCCTCGTATTCTGTTATCAGGAAAAAAACTGCAAACAGTAGTGAAAGCTGAAGCTCCTCCTTCAGTGGGAACTGCTGTATATCCACAGATCAGTTGGCATCACCCCTCTTGTTTGGTTTGTCTTGGGGGGGTTTATTTTATTTTAATAACCAACAAAATTATCAGACAGGTCTTTTTGTCTGAAAGGAGAGCGCCTTCTGAAATCTGCAGCTGTGTCACAGCTATTTGGTGTTCAAAGCAGTTTCCACTCATTTAGCCGCAGCTCAGCTGCCCGTGTCAGTTTTATCTTCCAAAATTTTCACAGCAGATTCAAATGCAGAATGTATCTTTGTTTTATATTGTACTCCATTTGGAAAAACACTTGCAAAATGAATTTTCAGGCTGGTTACTTGTGTCCCCATAAATCTGTCAGCATTTATTCCCATTTTGAGCCTATCGGGGCCCTTCTAGTGAAGCAGAAGAGCATCTTACACGGTTGAAGGACTCAGTTGTGGCTCTACTTAGGGATTCAAAGTAACGAAGGGTGTACAAGAAGTTTTAAGCTGCCTGTTTGTACCTGCATGGCAGCATCTGCACCCCTAAGACATAAACCTGCAAGGTGCTAATTGCCTCCCTGGGGATTGCCCGGCATTTAACATATTCCGTGTGTCATGTTCCTCGCTTCCCTTGTACCAGTAATTGCTGCTTTCCCTGGCAAGGGAGAAGCTTAGGGAAGTTCAACATTTTTTTGTTCATTTGGGGAAATGTTATCATTTTCTGCCATATGTGAGTAAATTACTACTTCCTTCTCCCCTCACCCCACCGCTCACATGAGACAGCAGCAAAGACATGGTGCTCCATGGAGAAAGAGCATGCCCAGAGAGGCTACAGCATCACTCCATGAAGCCTTTGAGATGAGGAGAACAGGATCTGACCACTGTAAAAGAGGGAGTTCCCCTGAAACTAGCATCCTTTCTGCTGCCATCACATGGATCCGCGTTTTATGAGTTGTGGCCCTTCCTCCCATGGTTGCAGGGTGTTCCTGGGGGACTGACGACCTGTTGCCATGAGCTCGACCAGCTCCCAGCATGATGAGGCCAGTTTCACGGCTACCTCCTTGCGCCTCCGTAGGAAATAATACAATGCATGTGTTTCTGTTGCAGGGATAAGGCAGGGGGCAGGAACTTCTGCATGGGTGAGGGGAAAGGGGCCAGCCCTGATGCCTTTTCCCAGTCCCATCAACGCTGACCTCGCTCTGCGCTTGGCCAGGCAGCGGTAAAGCTGCACAAATATATTAAAGCAGCCACTTTCCCTTCTCCTGTCCCACACGCTCCATGGAAAGTTGTGATGCTCTTATCCAACCACCCAGCAGTGAGATATCTCTGCAAATTGGCTGCCTACAAATTCAACCCATCACTGGCCAACAGCAACACAGACTCCATCTGCAGTGAGAGCGTTAGGTAAACTCTGCTCCAAGGAACAGAACTCCTTCCTTTTTTTTTAAAACAAACTTGAGTTTTTCAATAATGAACGATGTAAAATAATCTCTGACAGTGGAGCAAATAGACAGCCAAAAGAGACAGAGCTGCTGGCTTAGCTCTTTTATTTATTTAAACATGGAAACTCCCGTTGTAATTCACTTTGTTTTTCCCAAGACCTTGGCAGCAGGTTAATGGTGGCATCAAGACTTGGTGTCCCAGACAGTCCCCAGAACCAGTGTGACCGAAGAGGTCTCCTGGGATATGCTCCTAACCACTCCTGGTGTGTTGACCAACGAGGACAGTCTAGCATCATCTCCACCATTTCTGCAAGGTGTTGAGGTCTGGATATGGCCACCCCAACGGTTTCAGCAATCCACTGGGGAAATGGCTTTTTAGGCAGCCGTTTATCACATGGATATTGTTGGCTCCTGGAGTTTTCATTGCAGAAGTATAGTTTGCCTTCCTCTGCTGAAGGTTGCCAGAGTGTTTTAATGAGAAATTTTCCCTTTTTGTGCACAGGCAGATTACCGAATGTTGTTTAATTACAATTTAAGCTAAAGGATCTCTATAGGAAGCATTGGAGAAATCAGAGATGGTGGTGCGTTTATGTTCTTGCTTTTCCAGAGCAAGCTAAGGGAACTTGCTGTGGAACGTGAGTTTGGGGCTAAATTTAGTCTCTCGCATATAGAGGGGAGGTCAAATACACTGTGAACTGTGGATTTAAATTTACCCTGTCTCAGTCCTGTGCTGATCACAAGCCTTTTCAAACACTCTGAGGGGCAAAACCTTTTGCAGGAGCTTTTCAGACCCCATTTCAGGATAAGGACGCCGGGATGTAGGATGGCACCTTATTTAGCTGCTCACCATAAAACACAGTTATTGGACTGAAGCCTGCAGCCCTGTCAGTGCTTCTGCAGAAAATTCACTTCTATTCAAGGCATGCCCTTGAACAAGGATGAAAAAAAGATTTAGCCCCTGTTCAGAGGCTATCTGGCAGGGCAGGGTTCACTTTCCCCATCACCTTGCGGGGTAGCTGTTGGCACTGCAGCACTTCTCGGAGAGAAGAGAGATTACACCGAGAGAGCAGCAGAAAACAAATCATAAAACAAATAAAAAATCATGAAAAGGGAGACTGGTTCCAACTAGTCATGCAGAAATGGCTTGCCAGAGCGCGGGGAGGGTGGAATGACTTAGGGCATAGGTAATGGGATGCAGAGATTTAGGCTGAACTTAAGAGCTATCCTGGGACCTGTTATTTGGTCCTTCCAGCACAGTGAATGGCACTGCTGCTGGCGTACGGATCAGGGAGGCCACTTTCAGCCTGGATTACTGTCCCAGCCCTGGAAGAGCTCTTTCCAGCTCTCTTGGCAGAGACCAGTAGCAGAAGAAGCTGCAGCTGCCAGGCTGGAGCTGTTCTGTGAATAGATGGAAGGCAGAGATTCTATTCCTTCCTACTTTGGTTTTGTTTTTTTTAAAGCAATTGCCACTTCTGTTTCTCTATTTATAGCACCAAGTACCTATGAGATATCAAATGGCTCTGTTAGTTACATGTGTGCATCTGTACTTAGAGTTTTGATACCTTTTTAATTATTTCCCAGCTTGCCTGTTACAGTGGGCTGTTGGCTGATTCCCTCTTTCTCCCATTGCCCATTTCCATTCTATTTTACACACACTTAATTGGAGCATTATCTACCCTTCCAAGCCATTTCTTTCCTCGAGTCATTCCTGTCTTTTAGCATTGTTATTCGTAAGTTGAAAATAATTTTTGCACTTGCATCCTCTTACATCATCTTCACACTTACATCATGGCACTGATTCCTTCTCTCTCAGCTGGCCACATGCACCCTCAGCTCGCTTCCACATTTTCTCAGCTGTGCCTTTGCCGCTTCCAACCCCCAGCTTTCTTTTGAAATGCCTTCTTTTGAATTCTGACTTTGCAGAGTCCCCATTCTCCAGGTTCCAGTGCAGACATCTGCCCACGCAGCACAAAAGCACGGCAGGGGTCCTGCCTTTCCCTCTCCCATCCCTCCGGGGCTGAGGACCCCCTTCTATAATCCCACATCCCTCAAAATATAGCAGGAATTCAGTCATGCACCCTAAAGTAATGGCCAAGATCAAAGTTGGACCAGGGCTGAGAACAGTACTCAGGTCAGGAGTGTCCACTTTACCCAGAGCAGGATAAGGCAAGATGTTTAACTTGCAATCTGAAGACATTGCAGCAACTGGCAAACCCTGGTTTATTGACTGCAGCTGAAGGGCTGCCAAGGGAACTGAAAACCAATCCAGCTGCTTGGAGTTTGAAATTCATCCGAGAAGAATCTGCATCTTTCTAGAAAAGATGGGTTCACCAGCTGAAAGAGGGTCAGAACTTGTGAGACAGAGAAAGAGCTGTCACCAGCAAGCTCATGCTGGGAGTGTGGGTTTTTCATCCTTGCTGAGTACTTTGCTACTGTGATGATGTGGCTTTGTAAGTCTCCTCGCACACGCGGCTAAACATGAGTTGTATTATCAGCTCCTTTTTTGTATTGCTGTGCACTACAATCCCTGAATCAAAATGAATTCCTGCTCCTACCTTTGATGTAGATACCTTTGATCTTTGGAAATGCTGAGGCAGTGGAGGTAACAGGAGTGTAATTATGCAACACTGAATAACCCCAGGACAATGAAGCTAAAACTCCAGCTCTCACAGAAAAGTTCTTGCTCTTTGTAACATCTACAGTGGTCAAGGCCTCCATATTTCATCTCAGGGGAAAGGCTTAACCTCCAGTGCCTGCAGCATATAACTCAGAGAAAAACTCTATTTTCCAATATGTTGACACAACATCTGTCTTTTTTCTACAAGTATTATTTTTTGATGTGCATGAAAGCAAAAGGCTATATATCCTAGGTTTGATAAGTAGAGTACATTGCACATATTCCTTTCAACAAGTTGTCATTACATCTTCTGTAGGTCTATAATCACATCTGCTGTAGTAGTCCTAAGCCTAGGTTTGGAATATGAGCAATGTTCCTTCACGGTGGTGCTTCAGAGGTACCCTGTTTTTCTGCCTCTCTCCTCAGTGAAGCCAAAAGAAGCAACGTTAGGACAACTCTTTGCTTTGAAAATTGCCTCTTATCCAGAGGCAATGAACAGCTGGGTACTCTCCGGTGTGCTCTAAAGAAGTGTTTGGTGAAACAAGGCTAGTCTTTGTAATTTAAACGGTTTTTAACTTCCTAATTCTCCATCTCTTTCCTTTAGGTTCACAACAGAAACCTGCTGTCCCTTGACTTTGATCGTGTGACAAGGACAGAGAAAATCTATGATGACCACCGCAAGTTCACGCTCCGCATCCTCTATGACCAGGCAGGGAGACCCAGTCTCTGGTCGCCCAGCAGCAGACTGAACGGGGTCAACGTCACCTATTCTCCAGGTGGACACATTGCAGGGATTCAGAGGGGCACGATGTCAGAAAGGATGGAGTATGACCAGTCTGGCAGAATTACATCCAGGATCTTTGCCGATGGCAAATCATGGAGCTACACTTACTTGGAGAAGGTAAGAATCCTCTAATCACTCAGAGATGGTGCATTTGGTGCAAATGGGATTTACTCCTTTGACTTCAGTACAGCCATGCTCCTTCACATCAGCTGATAAATGGTCCTTATGGTCCAGGACTCCTCTTCTGCCTACACTAAGGTGCATATAGTAACTTTGGTGCCAGATCACCAAAGAGCAGTTGAAAATAGCCTAAGAAGTGTCTTCCCAGTCACACTGAGAGCATGTCTTGATTGTGTGAAGCTTTGACATTTGATTTTTTAAGCACAGTATTCCTATGCTGAGCTAGCTGCTATATAAAATATCTTCAAGTAAAGTCAGAGAGGAGTGAACAGTAGGAATTTCCACTAGGTTTTTCCATGTGAAAACCCATACAGTCTGACATCGTGCCTTCGTCAAGTGGCCCATTCCTGCTTCGTAGGAGCTACATGTAATTAAAAAGTGCGAGGCATGAATCCAGCCAAACTGTTGTAGCACACTTTGCAGTGTTTTCTGTAGTCTGCACTCTGTAGGTTGGCATGGAACTTAAATTCTTCTCGGTATTACCACTCATCATTACACTGCCCAGTGTCCTATAGATCCATATGCTGCATACCTGGGGGTGGAATTTTTTTATTCCTGAGTTTTGCACAGACCCTATCCCTACAACAATTTAAGGAAACTACAGTAACATAGCTTTTAAAAAGCAAAAGTTATTGACTTGCTCTTTGTAATATACAATCAGGGTGAGTTGTTTGTTATATGCAAAAAAAATCTCAGAACAAATAAGCGTGCAGGCAGAAGTTTGCAGTAAGAGACTAATGGAAAATACAGAGACACAGTGAATTAATTG